GAAGAATTAAGCACAGTACCAAGACAAGAAAGAATAGAATATATCTGAAAGACAGTACTCAGCCCAGCATGGCTGAGCTGCTGAGGCATTGGGAGCCATAGTAGCAGATGAGTTTGGCATGGTCAGTTACTGCCAAATTGTGTAGGGCCTTGAGTCTGGGCAAGAGACTAAAGGCTTCTTTAATAAAGCACGAGACGATACTTAAGACTTTGTATAAGACAGTGAAGCCGTCTCAGCTCCTCAGGGTGTAGCGGATGGGTCAGAAGGCATGTGTTACACCCCTGGGTGATGTGTACTGAGGTCTGAAGCAGGCTGGTGGTGAGGAGGAGGTAGAAGGGAGACTTCATGAGATGCTTTGCCATCATGGTGCAATTGATTTGGATACACAGAGCACGGTGATTGTTAGTGTGTGAATGAGGAAGAAGTTAAAGATGGCATTAAATTTCATGCATGGGGAGACAGGACAATAGTGAAGCCCATGAACAGCAGTAAGATAACACCAATAGAGAAGCCAATTATTACCAGATCTTCAAGGATAATTGATGATAACGTTAATGCCATTGTTTTCTGAGCATATGGTTATGTCTAGGGACAGCACTTAGCTATTTCTGCATTATTTTATTTTATCTTGACAATCTTACAAGTCAGAGGCTACTCTTCTCATTCTGAAGTTGAGAAAACTGAGCCTCAGAATTGTCAAGGGACTCACCCAGGGTCATAAAACTAGAAGTGGTGGAGCTGACTTGAATCCAGTTCTGTCTCCAAATTCTGTCTTATTAACCTTTGCATGATTTCACTGTACCACTGCCCCTGAAACCTGGAGTCTATTTTTAAGACTTTGAAGGCAAAGTTTCTCAGCAAAGGGAAAGAGAGAGTATTAGAGACACACAGACAATAAAGCAAGCATCAGTGTGAGCTGAATCCACTCAGGGGTGAGGCCAAATGATACATTTTTGGTGCTGCAAATTCAATCTTCTTTATTCAGAAACAACACAGAGGTCACGAATGAATCATCAAACCTCCACTTCTGGTTGTTTCAAAATTGAGATCGATTGGGTGCATTATTTGTCAATTTAGGATTCAGGAATATGGACACGTGGACATGCCCATTGTCAGAGCTGCAGAGAGCAAGTGGCCAGTCAGCAGGCCCAGTGGGAGCTGAGGGAACTTTGCCTGGCTGTGTGGAAGCACTTGCATCTCTGATTAAATAATTAAATGCTATCAGAAAACTTGAAAAGTGATCTGTAAAAGACTGACATCTGTAATAATGCCCTCAGGTGAGCAAAAACACAGAGGGGAGCGGCAGCTGAATGTCCACATGTTCTCTGGACTTTAATGTGGTGCTAAAGCTAAGTTTTGAATTTTTGAAATTAAGCTTTGAAGAAAAACACTAGCATCACCTTAAGTGGTAATTCCTTGCAACAAAGGATTGCCAGGTTGTACCCTTATGATTCTGTATCTAACTCTAAAAAAAAGATCATCAGAAAAAAGATAGTGACCATCATGTTATGATTAGTTTACTTAGATGACTTACCTAATCAATAGCAATGGCCCACTTGGTTGATAAGATGCACTAACCAAAAGCCCACAGTAAATGTAGCAAACACATATGCACACATATTCACACATGGTGTTGCTGTGGCAACCCAACATTTGGAGCAGTACCATTAAGCAGGGTGACCTACCAAGCACACATATTTGCAACATCACAGAAAAGTGCAAGACTCAACATCCCCACAGGGAAGTGATGTCAGAAATTCCATTTTATCTCTATGAGGATGAAATCAGATGAAGAGGAGGAGTGAGAACACTGGGCAAATAATTCTGTCTAGCTGAATTTATAATTCCCATAAATGGAGATGTCACCAGAGTGGTTGAAAGGAAAAAATATATCCAACTCTAATCCCTGACAAATAGGAGCAAATTGAAAAATAATGCCATGGTGATGCACCATAAGTTTTCTTTGTTTATACCCAAATCACACCCCAATTCTCTTCCCCATTCAGAGGTGGCCTGGAGGTTCATCAGACTGACCACTTTCGCCTGTTCAGAGCAGCAGCAAGGCACACACCAGTGGCCCTTCTCTGGCTTGCTACCTTGAAGTTGCATGTTGAAGCCATACGAGCCTCAGGGAAGGAGTGTTGGCCAGGAGTGAGTGTGGGCCATTGGACATCCTTAGGTTGCTTTGTGATTGCAGCTGGTGTTACACAGGCCCACCTCTAATCCCCTACGTACTGCCGTGGACGGGTATAAACAAGATCTTACAAACATTGGTTCATACCTTTTCTGCCCCAGCCTGTCAGCGTCCCTCCACTGTCAGCGTGCGATACATTCTAAGCTAACTGAAAGGCTTAGGTGACCAGCTGGTCTTTTCTTTCCATCGAGGAGAACACGTTGGAGAGTCTTGGAATTGCCTTGCCGAGGTTTCGTGTCCCTCAGACGTTTTTCTTTTGGCAAGAGCCTCTTCTGTAGCGTGCTGTTTTGTGGAGCTGAAATAGGAGGTGAAAAGCTAAACAAATGTGTACCCTTGACTTCTCATCGCATCAGTGAGAAAGGACCCAGAACTTCCTCAAGTCTTACTCTTTGCATGGGCTTCCTTCTGGGCTCACTCTCATACCCTCCCAGGCTCCTGCTATAACTGCTCCTGTTGCCACTACTAAGTTGCAGTCTAAGCACTGAGAAGAACTTAAAAAGTCTCTGTCTATGTCATTGATGAATTTCTTATACATTATTCTTACCCATTCTCTAAAGGAGCTTGAGCTAGCAGCCCTGTTAGGCCATAATCAGCCCAGCTCTTAGTAAACACTGGAAAATAAAAACAAACATACAAAGCATCCCAAATAGAAGTCAAACTTTCTTTTGAACATCCCAGCTTTTCCTCACATACAGTATTATTTAGAATTCTTGGACCTAAGAAATATAAAAATAATTATCTTTCTGTCTTCTATAAAAGTGAATTTATTTGAAGGCTCTTTGGAACTTTGTGAGCCCAAAGGTTCTGTCTGTGAAAGGGCAGGAATCAGGAACCTCGATAATGGTTGGAGGCCGAGGCCACCATGCAGGGACCTCAGTGACTGGCTTGTCAGCTCCACCTTCCTGGGCTGGACCTGGGCTTACATCTTACTTCAAAGCCAAGTTCAGTTCACATCTCCTGTGCCTGTGTAGAGGGGTGGGGTGGGGAAGGGGTCTAACATGGAGAAACTGTTTGCTTTAGCCTCTGCAACACCAGCAGGTGCTGTTTCAAAAAGAGATCAGAGGTTGGGCAGCCAAAACCCAGCAACTGGTTTGCTTGTCAGGTTTTGGTAAAAGAGTTTTCAATCATGTTGTGGGGCATTTATTAACTGCTTTACTGAGATATAATTTGTATGTCATAAAATTCACCCATTTAAAGTGTGCAGTCCATTAAGTTTTAGTACATTTACAGAACTGTGCGACCACCACATTCTAATTTTAGAGAAAATCATTTGTTTTCAAAATTGGAATTGCCTTGCAGAGGTTTGTAAGTTGCTCTAATGTTTTTCTTTCCATGTTATGCAACCTTGGCTAGATTTGGAAACACATCTGTTCTACAGGGTGGTGTGCCTCTGACCATAGTTTCCTCCTTCCTAATTATCTTTATCCTTTTTCAACTTGTACAAATTTATTTGAAAGGCAGAGAGACAGAGAGAAACCTTCCATTTGCTGGTTCACTCCCTCAGATGCCCACAACATCTGAGATTGGGACAGGCTGCAGCTGGGCATTGGGAACTCAATCTGGGTCTCCCATGTAGATGGCAGGAACTCAACTGCCTGGGGCATCACCTGCTGCCTCCTGGGGGGCACAACAGCAGGAGGCTGGATTGGCAGTGTTGACTGCCCTACCAAACACCTGCCCCTTCTTTATCCTTGAAAACCCTTGCATGGAGCTCAGGGTTTGCACGATAAGTGAGGGTTCTTAGAGTTAGCTCTGATCTGGTGTGGCAAGGTAGACAGGTAGTCACTTCATGTCCTCTGGCCCCAAACAACCTCATTCTGAAAGGAAGGTGGGGGGAGGGGAGGAGTACAGTTGTGGTGTAATATAGTAAACCTCCGATTCGAGTCCCAGCTGCTCCTCTTCCAAACCAGCTCTCTGCTATGACCTGGGAAAGCAGTAGAAGATGGCCCAAGTCCTTGGGCCCCTGCACCTGCCTGGGAGACCTGGAGGAAGCTCCTGGCTCCTGGCTTCAGGTCAGCCCAACTCCGGCTGTTGCGGCCATTTGGGGAGTGAACCAGCCAATGGAAGACTTCTCTCTGTTTCTCCCTCTCTCTCTGTAACTCTGCATTTCAAATAAATAAATAAATTTTTTTAATGGAGGGGGAAAGAGAGACGGCAGAGGATTCTTTTTGCCTCCTCCATAGCAGTGGTGGTCTGGGTCTCCTTTATGTACCTTCTTTCCCTTTTATGCCTTAAAGGATCCTAAGAATAAACAAACTTCAATTGCTACCCAGATTGGCCTTAGGGAGCAGACAATTCTCCGATAGAGGGAGACTGCATCCCCAAAGCCAGCCTGGGGGGGTTCCATCAGCAGGAACTCCTTTCTAGGTTCTTCTGTGTATGGGTTCCATCTAGGTTTGCAGAATCCCTGTGTGTGTGTGTGTATGTGTGTGTATGTGTTCTTTCTGGAAAGAAATCTCTCAATCCATCTCCACCTCAATTTGATTTTCAAAAAATAATGTACCGCTAGTTGCACAGAGTTTTAACCTTTTTATTTCATACACCATACCCTTCATTGTCTTTTTTTTTAATTGCGATAAAATATACACAGTGTTGATAGAAGAAGTCTTGCTTGCATAGACCAAAAAGACAAAGAGAGCTTTATTTTCAAGGACAAGCCATCTAGGTTTGGCGGATGCAGGCTCTGTAGACCACGTACACTCTGAAGGAAGAAGGACTGGGACTGTCTTCTAACAGGCAAATTCTCACTCAGTTTCCCATCAGGGTCTGCTCATGCAAAGAAGTCAAGCTTATTAGCTCTGATTGGCTCATGCAAATGAGGTATTGTGAGTTCTTCAGTGTGACTGTTAATCACAGGTTGCAGTCCATTGGTCATATCTGGGGGCAAAACAGGACTTCTTGGAGTCTGTCTGTCTCAGCATCTGCAACAGGCACATGCCCTGGCAAGAACCATAGAGTGATTTTTCCAGGAGTGTGGGTAACTTCTAGTTAACATAAGGCTGCTAGGCTCCATTAGGTCCACTTTTCCACTCAGGATCTGAAGGTCTGGCTTTCCCCAAGGCATTTAACAACATAAATTTTTACCATTTTAGCAATTTTTAAACATGCAGTTCTGGGCATTAGGTACTTTCAAATTGGTATCTAACCAGCACCATCATACATTTCTAGAACTTTCTCATTTTCTCAAGCTGAAATTTTGTACCCATCAAAAGTCAACTCCCTACACCTCCCTTCCCTCAGTCCCTGACACTCACCATTCTACCTTCTTTCTCTATGAAAAATTGACTACTCCAGGAATCTCATATATGTAATCATACATCAGGTATCCTCATGTGCCTGGCTCAGCATAATGTACTCAAGTTCAACCATGTTGTAGTTTGCGTGGAGATCTCCCTCTTTTTAAGGCAGAATCATATTCCATTGTATGTATGGGCCACATTTTGTTTACCCATCCATCTGTCATTTTATACTGGGGTGGCTCCCACCCTTTGGGTATTGTGAACAATGTTGCTATGAGCATGGGTGTGCAAATATCACTTTAAGTTCCAGCTTTCAATTCTTTTGGGTCTTTATAGTCTTTTATGTCCTATGGGAGAAAAGCTCAATTTCCTCTATAGGGATTCACAACTTTCTGATTCACAGCTTACAGAGGAAATATTGGTTTGGCTTCCTGGGGGTAACCGAAGGGGCTTGGAGCCTCAACAGCGTGGTAGACCCTGGATCCTGCTGGCCCAGCTTCCCTCATCCCAGCACGTATCTAGACCCACTGGGTAGGGGAGCTCTCTGCAGTGGACAGCTAGGTTCTCTGGGTGTAGAGCCCACTCAAGCAAGTGGTGCATGGAATTTGCGATCTGTAGCCAGCAAATGGCTGCTCTCGGTGTGGGTGATGGGATGAGGTGTGCTAAAGAAGCCCTCAATTCCTCTGTGCTCATACCTGGTCTTAGAGAACCTATCCCTCTGGAGTCCTTAGAGCAAGACACATTGGCCCTCATACCCCTGGCTGCAGTTGCCTGGAGTGACTGATCACATTAAGCCAATACCTCAAACTCTCCAAAGAGTCTGCATTAGGTTAGGACGCCCAACCTGGGCAGACAGACAGCTGTGGGAGCTGAGCCAGAAGACCAGCTGGATTTAGGGACAGGGACTGAAGCTTTGGGGCAGTTCTGAGTGACCAGGGTAAGCTGAGTTGAGGAATTTATCTTAAAAGGGAAGGAAGGGGCCTGTGCTGTGGCGTAGCGGGTAAAGCTGCCGCTTGCAGTGCCGGCATCCTATATGGATGCCTGTTCAAGTCCTGGCTGCTCCACTTCCGATCCAGCTCTCTGCTATGGCCTGGGAGAGCAGTAGAGGATGGCTCAAGTCCTTGGGCCCCTGCAACTGTGTGGGAGTCCTGGAAGAAACTCCTGGCTCTTGGCTTCAGATTGGCACAGCTCCAGCTGTTGGGGCCATCTGGGGAGTGAACTGGCAGGTGGAGGCCCTCTCTCTCTCTCTCTCTCTCTCTCTCTCTCTTTCTGCTTCTCTGTAGCTCTGCCTTTCAAATAAATAAACAAATCTTAAAAAAAAAAATGGAAGGGAGAGGAAGGCCAGAGGGCAGAAGCCCGAGGGAGCCATGAGAGCTGTAGTTTCTATGAGGCCTCGTGGATCCTTCTGCCTTCACATTTATAATCCTAAACTCCCTTGTGTGAAGGTCTCCTCCCCTTGGGGAGGCTGGGCAGGTTTACCTGCCTTCAAGGTGCTCCAAGTACAAGGCCAGGAAGAACAAGAAGGCTACCAGGACTACGTCATGACCCAGAGTGAGAAAGGAACAAAGTGGCCACCAGACTGTGCTCAGCACTTCTTTTTCAAATGTTTTATTAATCTGTTTGGCCAAACAGGTAATGGAAACGGAGAATAACAATTTGCTAAAAATTTCAGGTCATGAATGCCCCTTTCCCCCAGGAAACAAAAGACTCCATGGTTACAGAATGCACCATTGGGTTATGACAACATTTCAAAATAATATCTCCATTTCGTATGTAACAATGTAAACTTCAAAAATAGTAAACTCTAACCCCCGTCCCTCTTTGCAGATCTATCACAGATAGAATTTTCTGGTAGACCTAAATTGAGTAAGTAAACAGCCTGGTGCTTAAAAGTTTCATAAAAAGGTGTACAGATTCAGTAAATAATTGTTCAGTCTTGGTCGTGAAAGAAAAGCAACCAGCAGCTCCTCTCCTGCAGTCTACCTCAGAGGCGCACCGTGTACTGCGAACCACATTCCATATGCGTTGCTCATCTGTGTTGTCACTTTATACACACATACATATATATTTATATAGTTTTATTTGTTTGTAAAGATTTCTACATCTAAATTATAAGACGGCGCCAGTGACTTATAATGCCACTTCGCTTCACATAGGTAAAAACGAAAATTCTGTAGAAGGCACTGTAATTTCTCTTGCATGATCTTATGCAGACATGTGAGAACAGGCCAGTGGGGGCTTGAACTTGTCTTTCCCTTCCTGTTCCCTGGCGCAGGCCTGTCCTCTGATGGTCTCTGATGTCCATTATCCTTTTCTGACTCATCTCTTCCCATCCCATTCATCCACCCGTCCGTCCATCCATCCACCCATCCATCCATCTGACAGTTATCTTTTGGTTCATTGAAATTCCTTAAAATTAAGAATACAGCTCTGGTATAAAACAAAATATGACCTACCATAGCTGAAAAATAATCACAGTGTACAATGTCATTTTTTTTTTTTTTTAGCCACTAAGATTCAAAACATGTACCCTGGCTTGTCATGAACATCAGTCGTTCAAAACAATCTCCACAAGGCTCATTTTAACCTACTTTACATTCATTGAAAAAGCACAGCGAGGTTCTTCTTTTTCTCTTTTGTATTAAATTGATCCCCTTAAGTGAAAGGTCTGATGTGGAAAAGTGCAAGCAAATTGGACATGCCAATAAATACCATAGGACTTACCGCAGATGACCGAAACTGTACAGGTATGTACACCTTACCCAGCGGGGTTCCTCCCATCAGGAAATAGTCCTCTAAGTCATTACCACGAGGTGTCACCACAGCGTTCCACTGGAGAGGCCTTAGCGGGCAAAGGAAGGGCGGGCTCTCCTGCTCCTGTTCTGAGGTCCGGAGCCCGTGTCTGCCCCGCCCTCCGCTGGCTCCTCCTTCTTCCTCACTTTGAGGCGGGTGAGCAACTTGATCAACCAGACGTCCCACTCCTCAGGCAGGAGCAGGAGGAGAAAGCCCAGGCCAATGATGATGATGGCGATGACCCGGACCCCGTTGAAGACTATCTGACTGGTGTAGTGATCGACCACTGTGGGACACAGAGAACTGGGTGAATCGGCAGCAGTGGATGCACAGAGCAGGCGGCCAGCAGCCCCGTGCATCTGGCCCAGGCCGCCCTCCTCCTGGATCACAGAACCATCCTCGGTGGAGTTTTGTTCCAGGTGGGCTGGGGTGGCCTCTAGTGAGTTCCCTTGAATTTTATAAAACTTTCCTGTATTTCACCTTAGTGCAGACATTGATTTGGGTGACAGAAAAAAATAAGCAGAAGGCAGTTGGAGAAACATACATATGAAGGGACTTCAAAAAATTATCAGAAAATGGAATTAAAAGATGCTTATTTTGTTGCACAGCAATTTTGAAACCCATGCAGAGTTTTTTAATCATAAGCATTCCATGAACTTTTTAAAGACCTTGTGTGCAGTTGGGTCTTGGAATCTGTGGATACCAACCTATACCCTTAGATTTAACCAACTACAGATAGAAAATATTTGAAAAGAAAAGTATAGTATATCTGTACTGAGTATTTGTAGTCTTTTATTCCCCTGGAATTATTCCCTGAACAATGCAGGATAACAACAGTTTGCACACTTTGTGCTTTGGGTTAGGCACCGTAAGTGATCTAGCGCTGGTTTAAGGTACAGAGGAAGGTGTGTGCCTGTCATATGTAAATGCCACTTCATTTCATGTAAGGGATTTGAGCCTCTTGTATTGGTACCATCAAGGGCATCTTGCAACCAATATCTCTGGATACCGAGGGATGATTGTATTTTGATGGAAATAAACCAGAATTTAACTGTGGATACCTCTGAGTGGCAGGATAATGAAAGTGATATTGTTTTCTTTATATATTTGATACTTTTCACATGGTCTATAATTGCATCCTTTGTTTTTATTTCAAAACACTAGTTCACAATATATGAATCTACTGTATATTTGAAAACCAAACGGAGCCAGTTCTTTTAAGATAACAAATCTAAATTCCTGTCCCATCCCAGGACGTTAACTAGTGGAGCCTCTAAGGTCTCCTCCGGCCTCTTTTCACACGGTTGCCACGAACCACTCCTGTTGGTGGAGTCCCGGTTGTGGTGAAGCACAGGGGATGGGGGCTGTGGGCAATCAAATCCTGGGGACAGGCTCAAGAAGTTGAGAGCCACTTTGCAGACTTCCAGGTGTATTTAACATCACATTAATCAGAATGAGCGCTGGCTGTTCCAAGGAAGGCTGAATCCCTAACAGCTAGAGATAGGGGTGTTTGGGGGCTGGCCCTGGAGGAAGCTGTGCCAGGGCCAAGGGAGAGGAGGGACTCACAGCCTTTCCCTGGCTCGCAGCAGGTTGCACAGGGTGGAAGGTGTGCTGGGTGGGAGGTTGGGGAACTCTGGGAAGACAAGTTCTTAGCAGAAGGAGCCCAGAAAGCAAGCGGCGGTGAAGGTGAGGTTTTGGATGAGTTGTTAGTTGTGTGCATTGGCTGCAAGGCTTTGGGGGTCAAAGGGAGGCCCTGGGTACTTGGACAGAGGCTCTGCCTCTCTCTTCTGGGAGATAGAGGAAGATAATGTTCATGGCAATTAGTGAATCAGCATGTTTCTGTGTCATATCCTGGGCAAACTTTCTCCCTTACATTGTCAAAAATGATTTATCTTTCTGATATATCAGTTTTTATGTCCATTAATAAAGTGAATGAATGGTATTCACCTCTACTCCACATACTCCTTGGAATCCAGACAGCTTTAGATTCCCTGTGTCCTGCTGTGGTACATGGCACTCAATCCGCAATAGAGAAAATCAATCATACATATATAGAAAACAACATTTTGCCTAAATCTTTTTTTGGTTTTCCTTTGCAGATGGTTAAATGTGCATTCTATATCAGGCATGGCAAGACTGTATGTGAGTGTGTATGTGTGTGTGTGTGTGCGTGCGCATGTGCGTTTAACACTGAACAGATGTAGAAAGTCATTGGGCTTACCTGCATTCACAGGTACACTGAGGACGATTCCAAGAGACATCAGAGTGGGGTATGTAACAGCGATTCCAAAATTTAATACAATATTGAATGCTGAAATGAAGAATTTGGAAATGGGTGTTAGTCATGGTGACCCCGAGCTTCATCTCCCTGGTGGCCTGTGTGGCCCAGTTTCTCTTATGAGGCGGGAGTCCTGGGAACCACCACGACCTTGTGCTCTGATTCAGTGGACTTCTCATTCCTCCAGGGGCTCCAGGACTTGAGTGTAGACACAAACACTGTCCACTCAGCCTCTGCTTTCTCCTGACCTTTGCAGAAGGGAAAGGAAATTGGCAAGGGGCAACAAGTGAGAAGGCTCTAGAAAAGAGGATGTGACCATCTAACCAGCTCTGCTTTTCTCTGGCGCTGGCAATGCTTCTGGCGTAACGTGTATGCCCAGCGGCTTTGGGATATGTGCTGTGGACAGTGGCTGGGTGAGGCATCTCCTTGGTTGCTTTGCTGCCTAGTGCTGGTCTTCGATGGAGTAACAGTGATAATGACAATGATGACATTAATAACCAAGACAACTGATAGTATTTCCTGGACATTGACACTTAAGCAATATTCTAAGCGCTCTGCAGGTATTCATTTACCAGCTCCTTATTGTGTTACAATTTGTAGGTGACTTGTAAGCATACTATTCACTACTGGGGAGCAGAGTTTCTACTGTAAGGACTATTGCTCTGGATTTCAAACCCAACCTCATCTTTCAAAGAAGTGACTCTGTGAAACACGAAGAGCCTGAAAAACAGAGTGAAGACTTAAGGCTAGCAATAAACACTGTTTCCAGAGTCCCCTGTCAGTTCTTGGATTCTGAGGGTTATGGACAGGATGGTGGTCACTTACTCAATAAAAGAACTGAAAATCCACAAAGGTTTCCCCATGGAATGTCATCGAAGGAGCTCCAGTATTCCACTTTGGTAAAGTAGAGGATGACAGGAATGCAGGTGATGAAGAGGATGTTAAAGACACCCAAAATGGACAAAAATAAGGCGGCTTCTCCAAATTTAGCACTGCCCAGAAGGAGCTTGAACAAAACCTGCAGGAGAAAGCAGAGGAGGAGGGGTGAGGGCTCACCCCAGACCCCAACTTGACACAGTGAAGCAGATTGTGCTTGATCCAGCCGGGGTTGCACCCCACATTTTGGGTCAAGGTAACATTACTAGGCTTTCAGTGAAGGGACGGTGGAGATTGCCTGTGCTCCTTTGTCTGCACATCTGCACTTAGTTACATGAAGATGGAGAGTTACTCTGCCAACACAGACAGCATCTTCAGGGGTTAGGGGTTCTCACACTAGGTTTGATTTTTCTGTGTTGTGTTCATGACACTGCATCCATTAGACACATTTGCCATGGGGGCTGGCATTGTGGCATAGCGGGTTAAGCTGTGGCCTGGCTGCTCCACTTCTGATCCAGTTCCCAGCTAATGGCTTGGGATATCAGTGGAGAATGGCCAAAGTACTTGGGCCCCTGCACCCACGTGGGAGATCCAGTAGAAGCTTGTGGCTCCTGGCTTCTGTCTGGCCCAGCTCCTGCCATTGCAGGTATTTGGGGAGTGAAAACAGTGGATGGAAGGCCTCTCTATCTGTCTCTCTCTCTCTTTGTAATTCCACTTTTCAAAAATAAATAAAATAATTCTTAAAAAAGACAAATATTTGCCATGGGTCACAACCTCTAAGGGATCCCTAAACTTGATCCCTGACCCTTGGACAACACTGTTTGAAAACTACCATACTCGAGATAATGGGCTGTGGCTGCAAAGATGTTTTCTGTAAATCCAAGAGGGAGCAATTTGGTTTATCTGTGCCCCATCCCACAACCCCATTCCATAAATGATGCTGGCATTAGTGGCATGTACTAAACTGTCACTTTTTGCACATGTTCTTGTTTATGGAACGTTTCAGGTGTTTGGAAGGCTGGGAGGGAAGGGACACTTGTGACTGGAGTGGCCAGAGGCTGGGCTGAACTCAGAGCTGCAGAGCCCCAGATGAGCACGTGTGTGAGTTGGTGGTCCCGTGTGTGTGTCTGCATTGTTGTCCTGCTTTGCCTGCTCTGTCCTTGCTCAGCACCTCACAGTTTGTGCAGGTCCTTCTTGGCGAATGTGTGGGAAGTATGGAAAGGGAAACAAATACCTTCAGCCTTCTACCTCTTAGTTCCCTTGGACACACTGCAAGCAGTAAAGGAGCTGAAATCTGACTGAGAGTACTGTGTTCATCATGGATGGAGTTTCTACATGCTCTCTGCTCCTCTTTAGCACACAGCTAATCGACTGTAGCAGAATGTGGTATTTTTAATATTGTCTGCATTTGGAGGTGGCTTTGAAGTCTGAGTGGTGCTGTAACTAGCACATGCCCTCGATGAGCTGTGTTCCCGAGAAGGACAATGACGTGCATGTCTTTCTCTGTGGGCAGTAAGGGCAAGGAGTAATGGAAGAGAAGAAAGCACCATTATTTCTCTTTCCTGAAATTATAACACATGGTACTCACAGAGCTGGGAAAAACACGCCTTTTCTTATGACTTTCTACAGTACTTAATTTTCTCCGTTCTATTGTCTGGATCCACAAAGGACTGAGAAGTCTTGAAGCTAAAATCTCATTTCTCATTGAATCCTCCAGGTCAGTTTCCCAACTTAAAGACCCTGAAATATTTGCATACTCTACTGTGGCTCTAAGGAGTAGGAGAGAGGAGGAGAAGGGCGAGGAGGCTTGATCAAATAGGGAGGTGAAGAGAGCAAGGGACCCCATTGTGGGAATAAAAAGTTGTTGCCTAAGCCTGCAGTTGAAAAAAGCTTCCCAATGGTTCACAACATTTTGTCAAAAGAATTGTATATCCCCACATAATAACAACTGTGTTTTTATTTAGTCAGCCCACAGGCAATGCTTGGAATATAGATGGATTTGTTTTGAGCATTGATGGCTGCAAAAACGGTGTGGTCAACAATTGACATGACAAAGCTGCACCAGACATTCAAGTGTTCAGGTCCCATCATCCAATCGGGTGGGAACTTACCTGAGCAAACACTGAGCCAGCAACGTAGGGCCCCTGATCCTTCTCCAGTTCCCTGCCAAACAATGAAGTCACGAATCTGACTCTGCTGATCCAGTGGGTGCCACCCATTTTATCCCAAATGCTGCACACATATGGCCACTGGTGGAAAGGTCCACAGAGCCAGAGCCAAGAGTGGCTGCGTGCTTTGGCACTGCCCTTGGCGTTAGTCTCCATCTGCCTGGTGTGCACTGAAAGCAGCTGCTTGTCTTAAAGAACAGGCACCACTTTAGGCTCCCCTCAAAGACCAGCCCTGTGCACATTCCATGGAATGCTAGGCCAGTTCACAAAAATGTGTTTCCCGCACGTACCTTGTAGAGGGCTGACATGGATGCAGAGCCCACCACCAGGGCTATGCCAATGACAGAATGGCTATGGAAGCCATCGGCGTAGGTCATCATCACGATGCCAGCGATGGCAAGGATGGCAGCCACTATCTGGATGGACGGAAGAGAACAGTGGTCAGGGCAGTTAGTGGGGAGACAGAGGGACCATGCAAGTGCCAATGACCTAGAGATGTTCATGGGGTTCGGCCATGTGAGGGGAACATGCTGTCTCCTTTTCAGGCCTCCTTGGGCACTGGCCACAGTTTTGTTGTTGGCTTTGAGAGGGACTCAGCACAGCTGGGCATGAACCAAGGAACTGGAGTTGTTGGTGGCACTGTGAGCCTTGGGGACTTGAGAAGGAGGTGGTCCCAGTTCCAGCAATAGGTTATTTGGTCATGGCAAAGCTGGGCAGGTCCCAGGACGGCACCTGAAAATGACCTCACTCCTTGTCCCACCTTCTGTGAGGACCTCGTGTGACCTTGCTTTTGTGGAATTTCATATCTCAACAGGGAAGGCACAGTGAGGACAGCAGATCTTGTCCTTGCTTCACATGCCAGGAGTGGGCACCTGCCAGTCAGGGCTAGAGACAATGGCCTAACCCTGAGGTGTCGCTCCTTTCCTTAGCTGTGGCAGGCTTCCCTGCACCTGACAGCTTCCCTCAACCCTGTCATTAGCTGGATAATGACTTTTCAGATCTGATGGAAGCGTTATGATGATGCACACACTACTGTCGTGCAAAGCAAAATTGTCAGAGTAAGAGGAGATGAAAGTACCTGAGATCACACAGTTCCCAAAGGAGAAAATGCACCTGCACAAAGAATAAACCCACAGACCAATCTCCTGGGGTAGGGTAGCCATGGAGCTACAGAAATGCCGCAGGGTGGGAAGTGGAGCTGGGGTGGGGAGGGGGGGCTGTCAGTAGAACAAATGTGTGCATTCGAAGTTTCAACCACTGGACTTACTGAATTTCATTCCTCTTAACAGATCATTCAAAACTGACTTCAGTTATTGATAACAATATCAGGTTTCATTGCAAAGCTGGTGCTTATAGGAGGGCACTTCAAAAATCTCATGGAAAATGGAATTAAAATATCCATTGATTTCAATGCCAAAAATGGCAATCCAGTCATAGTTTTTATGTAATATACATTTCCACAAACTTTTTGAATTCCTTATATATTTAAAGGGAAAAAATTTATTCATATAGCAAGTTATTGCCAGCTGTACTCTGAGATTGAACCAAGTTTTTACGTTAGCTAAAGGTAATGAAGTTGAATTTCGCACAGCATATCTGAGCTTATACTTCTGATCTATGCCTCATGCGATACTTCTACATCATGCTACATCAGCCCATAATATGGATCTGCCCTCGAGAAAGCAGGTGATTGTCATGAGCTGGAGAGGCACTGGCCCTACTCCCGTTCTTTCTGGTCTAGCAACTCATTTGTAGTCAGGTGCACAACTCTGCATCACATATGTGCATATTTTTCATATTCAAGTGCTACCTGTACTGGGTACAAACGCTCATCAAGACATGGAGATAGGAAGAAAGCAAGTGTATTTTGCCTCCAAGAGAACAAGAAGGGGCAAGGGAAAAACCAGTTTGTGCCCCAGAGGCAGATGTAATGCAAAGATGCTGCTAAGACCAGTTTTGCCTGGCTAGGCATCCGAGGTACCCACTGAGACAAAGCACCAGGAGAAGAAGGAAGGGAGGGGAGAAAATAGTGAAACTTTAGGTAACATCGCCAAAAGGACTTGAGTCTTTCCAAAACTTACAGCTGGAGTTTGAGGACATGAAGGAGATGAAGAGGTATTTTTTTGTTGTTGTTGTTCGTTTCTGAAGACATGCGAGGCAGATTCCCAACCTCTTCCTCTTGTGATTAAATGACAGACAGCGAAAAGCTTCCATCTGCGCTGTGCTATGCGGAAGCACTGAGAGGAGGGGCTGGCCACTGCCCTTCCATCAGGCGAGGCGATGCAGGCCAGAGGAGCCCACAGGGTCCCCTGAGTTCATCCTGACAGGCGGTGCCAGGGGCCAATGGTCTCCTCATCCTTGCCTCCCAGTCTCCTCCTCTTGGGAGTTCTGGCCACAGGTTACAGGGTCCGTGGACCTGTTTGTGGGGTGGCTACTCTTTGGGCATCCTTGGCCCTGCTGGGACATGGCCCAAGTGCCGAGAGGCTGGCTGGTGAGTAGATCCCTACCTCACTCCAAATTCTCATGGCAGCAAGCCTGACATTGCTTTGAAGATTTCAGCTCTGTCTTTAAAAAATATGTGCACATTTTACACTTTTTAAAACATATCTGGGTTCCTTGGTTTTCATGTGAAAACATCCCCTTGCCTACTTCCTGCACAAAAACGAACTCTCTAGGAAGGCCAGTCAGGTCCACCCTGCCGTTTCACAGCCCCACTCCAACCTCCATACACCTAGCCCTCTGAGTGGGGACTGAGGACAAGTGGATTTCCCTTAGCTCCGCACACCGCTCCCTCCTCTCCTCTTACTGCCCCCTCTCTGTGTACCCCATGGAACTTCCCTGACAGGGACAGGTGGGGGTCACCTCCTCTACTTCATCTGGAGAGCTATTCACTGGAGAAGCATAGGCCAGTAGATTACCATTCAGCACGCTTATGTGCCTGGCCAAGCATATGCATCACTGCTGGCATGAAGCCGCCTGATTCCCACGGCTCTAGTACTGGAGTCCTGCCAAGGCAGGTGTCAATGGTGCTGCTCTGGGCTGAACAGGGAGGTGAGGGAAAGCCCTGAGGCTTATGGAGACAGGACGGCCGGTGCCGCCCTTAGTGAAGTCTGATTTCCTTTCTTCTAAAATATACAGTGAGCAGCACAGTCTTTGACAAACTAAACCTGGTGTCTGGATGCTTATTGAAACTGTACAAAATTGGGACAGTTTTGCAAAGAGGAAGTCACAGACTGCCCCCAAGAGCTTCCCTCTGGCTCCTAGCTTGCTCTCAAGGAATGTTAGAGTGTGGAGGAGACACAGAGCTCCTCTGGTTCACCCTTCTGACTTCCGGGACTGGAAGGAGGCCTGGGCAGTGAGTGCCACCATGCTCCCGGCACTCTGTGCCTCCCCTAAGGGGCCCAGGTTGTAGGGGGCTGCAGGTTGCAGGCCCTCACACAGAGCGGGTCAACAGCACACGCCAGATGGCCCCTCCAGAAACACAAAAACAGCCCAATGATTGACAGCCTCAGATGGAAACTCACGTGAGAAAAACATGCACGCCTCTCAAATATGTGTTGCTACGGCTCCGAGACCCACGTGGATACCCTCCGGGTTCACCTTCTTGCTTCTGCCTCCATCCTCACTGTGATGGTGGTCATGAATGGCCACCAACAGTTAGAGCTCCACCTGTCATTTCTTCTGAGATGGAGGCTGGGGATGGTCCCCTCCACCCCGAGTCTGACTACACCTGGGTGGGCTTCACACCCCCACAGCTCTCCTTGCTTTCAGCCTCCTGCTGCTTTTGCCATACAAGATTGCTTCCCTAAATGCTCATCAGCTCCTGACCCCATCAACAAAAGAATTAGGCTGATCCATCAACCCTCTCTAGCTGAGAAGGAATAATAAAAATAACATTAAGAAAAAAAAAATCACAATCACATTTTATTGAGTTTTAAGTGCCAGGCAGGCATCATCTTATTTTGTTCTCACAGCTGTTCTATGATAAGTAGTAATATTTGGTCCATTTTAAAAAGATGAGGTAAACAAAGGCTCAGAGACTTTCTGTAATTTACTCACAATCGGACAGCTTCTAAGAGTAGAGTTATGATCGGCAGCCGAGTCACCTGACTTGAGCCTGGTGCACCTTGCTGGGATCGTGAGGACACATATGGAAAACACATCTAAGAAGAGAGTGGAACGGTGACACAAGACCAGCTTGAGCTCTGTTGAGATGGACAGCCCGGCAGCTTCTCTACATGGTGGAGCTGGCCCCAGCACTGTAAGATACATTGGCTTCTTTCTGGATCTGTCTGCATGGCCCAGACTTGCCTGCTGATGTCTCTCAGGGAGCACTACCCATGTGATTATTTCTCAATAACTCAAGTCTCCCATGCCACCTGCTCCACAAACATGAGGCTGAGCCCCCATCAGGCTCTTCATGTCTGCACCACTCTCAAGCTCATGTGCTCAGTCCTCCAGGAGGCAGAACCATGCTGGCTCTCTGCCGTCTTTGGGGGTTACCCAGTGGAAGGTGTTAGCTTCCTGAGCAGTCTCAGTGAAGTTGGAGCAATCCCATGCACCACTATGGGATCATCTTGACCGTCAGTCTCCATCTGTTTAAGGGGAGAACTTTCACACTAGCAAGTGGCAGGGATCTTATTGATTTTGCTTTCCAAACCCTTGAAGCTAAGAAGAGGGGCATGCACTGCGACTTGCAGTGGGATGCTCTCAGATGTTTGAGCCTGGACTTCTAAGAGAGTAGTGATTATCAGACAGACCCATGGCTGCACAGTGCTTTGGAGGTTACAAAAGTTCATCACCAGTACCGGCTCCACTGACCTGCATTTCCATGCTGGCCCAAGGCCTCCAAACAAAACGTTGTGCAGTATGCAGTGGTCAGCACAGAGAAAACCGACAGAGTGGCCAGCATGGCCAGACTCTATCACAGTCCAGGGATGCCAGTGGGGGAAGTGGAGATGCTGTTATCCATATATATCAACCAAGAAAAGATACAGAAGCATCGCACTGTTCTTTGTGTGTCTCGGAATAGTTCAAGCTTTTTCATACCTCCTTCTCTTAACCTCAAGAAACAATCTGTTTTCTTCTGCTAGGTGCAGAATTAACCTTGAAGAATCTCTTTACAGTAACAGGGTGGCATTTGAAATTTTGCTTGGGACACCTGAATCATGACAAAAGTTTCATGGATTTTCTTGACTGTTTGCATCACAAAAAAGTTCCAAAGGGCATGTGTAGGTGGCGGTGCACCCCATAGCACCCGCATCCTCAGGGTCAAGGCAGGCAGGCTGCTGGGTGGCTTACTGCTGGAAGTACCTGCATTTTGATTTTTGTAAAAGTGTATTAGATCATTTATTTGCTGAAAGCTTTTCTTGGTGGTAGCACAGGGAGTGAGTTTTTATTCCAAAATTAACACTAAGCCTCAAAACAAATTTTTCCCCCTACTGCAAGCTAAAAATACAACTCAGCAGTTGACTCATGTCCCCACTGCTGTTTGAGTAACTCGGATCGGGCGTGAATCCTCCCTTAGGGTGATGTCACTGTTCCCAGGACAATGAGGGCAGGGCAGGAGTAGACAGGCCCCACAGTCGGCCCCTTGCTGGTTGCCAGCAAGGTTCTCTCTAAGGGGACTTCCCATCAGACAGGTTCTTAGCTTTGTGGCAGACAGGCTGCAAGCATTGCACTCTAACTACAAAAGAATGAGCTGTGTGTAGCCAAATGCTCTTTTTGTCCTGGTCTGTGGCAGGTGATGATGGCACAGTGGCAGCTCCTGGCCACCAGAGGGAGCCCGGCAGAAACCACCAGGATTCCATCCATGCTAAATGTCCCCTATTTCTTTTATTCAGGGCAGCTTCTTGTATTATTTGAGCAGATATTTGATAGTGAAAATATCACATTTCATATAACTGTTATGAACTTGGATTCACTACATTTGACTAGTTTTCAGTGTAAGCCTTGGGCTATAATTTCAGTCCCCTCTTTGTCGTGGTTTGAAGGAAATCTGGACTTAGCACAAGTGTGTCTGGCCCACTTTGGCTGTGCACATGCTCCAGGTCAAAGGCCCAACCCACATGCACTCATGGATGCTGAAGGATCCTTTGGGGTCCACAGTCCTAACCAGAGTGACTGTGTCACTCTGTGACACGGACTGTGTCAGTCACACCATGCACGCCAGCCTGGAAAGAGAAAGGTGGGCACGCAAAGAGCAGAGCACGTCATTGTTCCCAGGCAGGCTCCCCGGCTGGCGCACACTTTAGGGAATGCTTGTTGAGATGCTTGAAATGAAAGGTGCTTTCATGAATGCTTTTCTAGTATGGTTCGCAAGCAAGAAGGTTTGCAAGGCACACCAAGAACTGAGCCCTCGGCAGGGCTGCTTTTCTGCTGCAGCTCGGAAGGAAGGTGGTCAGCAGCTTACGCTCAGGGTCCAGCACATGGAGCTAAGCAAGCTAATGGGCAGGTTTTGGCTGACACGACCGAGTGAGGGAGGAAGACAGATAATAAGGAACTTACCCTCACTCCCATGAACCTGTCCCTGAGAACGATCCACGAGAGCAAGAACACAAAAGCTTTGTTGCAGCAGAACAACACGGAGACATCCGTAGTGTTTATTTTCTTTATTGCATGTAAGTACAGGTAGTTTGTGAGTGTCCAAAGAACACCAAAGGGTGCTGCCTTGGTAAAAAACACCTTCAAAGTCAAGCCATTGTCTCCAAAAAATCGACAGCATTCCCTAAAACAAGGAAAGAGAGGCAGTGTTATTATATTCTTGGGTTGACACAGACCACTTTTTCCCTTATCTCCATTTTTTAAAGCAAATAAGGAAGGGGCAAGGTCTTTTTCGTTATTATTTTTAATAAATGCTTTTCTATTAAAGCTCTTCAACCTATTGTTTAGTCCCTTGAAGAAAATGTTGTACAGCGATCTGATGTCATCGACGAATCCTTCTGTCTAAGTTTTGAATGAATGGCTCTACATGGAAGGCAATGTGGGGATTATCTGAGCTGAAGGCCCAGTTCCATGGGGATCGGCTGAGGGATTCTGTCACCTACTGAATAAGAGAAGAAAGGCACCAGATCTCTTTTCTTTTTTGTAGGGGGGTAGGGTACAGGAGGATGGGTACCTGAAGAAACCCGATTTAACATATTATTTTTCAACAAGTGCCCCAAACTGGAATTATCTTTGTGACTAGGCTGGGGCAGTCAGTTACTCCTTGAGCACATCAGATATGTTTTGACTATGAATGATACAAATAGTGTTAACTCTCTAAAGGTTTTATCCGGGAGGCCATTTTTGGAGTACGTGATTCATGGTTCTACTTCTTGAAGAGACCACCCAGCCCAGGAAGCATAAGCGCATACAGGAGTTCAGAGTCAAAAGAGCGAGATGAGCAAATGCCTGCAGAAGAGTTTTTCAATGCCATTTTGGATACCAAACATTGAAAAACTGTTCAAGAAAACCACAGCTAATGTTTTACATGCAGAAGGGAGCAGGGGAGGCTGTGGGGGTCACGAGCATGGAGAGAACCCACGGACAGGGGCGTGGTCTACAGGGAGCTGCCTGCTTCCTTGACTGTCAGGGAGTGAAGATCATTGCTCCGTGAGCCTGGTGAGCCAGGTAAGGAGACAGATGAGTGAGGACGTATTGCTCCTTTGGGGGCCCAACCAGTCCAGGCTCACAGACGTGGTACAGTGTGGCCACAGTGGGGGATGGCGAACCAGCCAGGAAGGAAGTCCCCTTGTCTGTGATTTAGAAATAACCTCAGGCCTAACTGAACAAAAGGAAAGACACATAGAATACGTCAAACACACTCAAGTGGAGGAATAACTCAAGCCTGAGTCGATGTTAAGACACAGCAATAAAGGAGAACAATTAAAAACAAGAGTCAAGAGGAATTGGTAAGATTTTTAATTTTACTGTTTGGTCTTTCCATCAAACTGCCCTTGTTGATTATTCAACTATGGGACATCCATTGGAGAAGACTCACTAGGGAAAGGTGTGACAGCCTGGGAGACCGGCAGGGGAAAAACATACTTACCATTTTGTAGACTGTGGTAGAGTCTGAACACCTCTCAGTGCACTCAGAGTCCTAGCTGCTTCTAAACAAACCAGCACCAAGTAAAAGATCTGAATCACTAAATCCATCAGGAGACCCACTCAATGGAATTGATTCCATTTTGGCTTTATATAGACACAATCCTCATCTAACTGATATGTTTCTATTTTTGTTTGCTATGTAATTTTCTTTTCTTTTTTTTTTTTTATTTGACAGAGTTATAGACAGTGAGAGAGAGACAGAGGGAAAGGTCTTCCTTCTGTTGGTTCACTCCCCTAATGGCTGCTATGGCTGGCGCTGCGCTGATCCGAATCCAGGAGCCGCGTACTTCCTCCCGGTCTCCCATGTGGGTGCAGGGATCCAAGCACTTGGGTCATCCTCCACTGCCTTCCTGGGCCACAGCAGAGAGCTGGACTGGAAGAGGAGCAACTGGGGCTAGTACCCAGTGCCCTAACTGGGACTAGAACCCGGGGTGCTGGTGCCACAGGTGGAGGATTAGCCAAGTGAGTCACGGTGCCGGCCTGCTATGTAATTTTCATACAGTATTTCAGCTATGGACTTTTCTCAAGCTCCAGGTTGCAGATCAGTGATCATGAAAGGATGGTGACCATGAGGGCTGGCTTCCCTCATGATTGGGATTATAGTGGCTATAAAGTGATGTATAAAGGAATGCCCCTTGAGTATGGCCAGTGGGAAATACAAGTGTACTTCTGCCATTAATGCAACTGGTGTCTGTGGGGAGCAACCCGGACTAGACTAAGTTACTGGAATTAAGACTTATTCTATGCATCTGCTCTCCCACAATATGGCGCTGGGAGAGGAGAAAACAGCTTCTACGCAGCTGCCTCTTGCCAACTTGAGTGATGACCTCCAGGAGCTGATCCTGCTCCTGATTGGAGGAGAGCAGCGTACTCGGCGTGTGGGCAGCTGAGTTGGGATTGGCGGAAGAGGACTATAAGGGAGGAGAGAGACAGCATGCACCAGGAACATGTAAGGGGAACATCTATCTGAAGGAACACCTGTGCAGCCCCCGAGAGAGCTGGCCAGCGGTGTGCCGCTCCCCTGCGGAAGTGGGGAAAGTGGCTAGGGGGAACCGCCCTTCCACGGAGGTGGAAGGGACAGTAGCCAACCCGGGAAGAACCAGCAGCAAACCCGGGGAGGGCCGAGCAGACAAAAGAACAGCGCAGGGTCCTGTGTCGTTCCTCCACGAAGACGGGGAGCGACAGTGTCTCCCATATGGAGAGGTTTCCTTTCTAAAGGGACAACTATCCAAGTGGGATGTCCAGGTTCCAACTGATTCACTATTATAAAAGATGATTCATTTGGGGCCACCAGAAGCCAAGGGGCCAGCTTCCTTCTTCTCTGAGAATCTACATTTGAGTCCTCCAAAGTCTGACAGTTGTAGAGATGGTGGAGAAACAGGGTGGGGCACAGACATGGCTCCATTTTGACAGCCCACATTGTTGGAAATGGGGAAAGGTGTGAGGTTCCCATCCTGGAGATGGAAAATGCAAAACTTTGGGCCTGATAGAGCTGTGTGAGTCCTTTGAGGACTCATGGTCAGGGCTTACATTTCGGGTTGGTGGATCTTGGTTCTAATAAGACCAAGATGATTGGTTCTTACAGACTGTGCAGTAATCAGTGTCAGCTGGCTCCCTCATGCATGTCTTTGAGCACACGGGGCCTCAAGAGAGATGATGCACACAATTCCACTTCTGCCAAAGCTCTCTTCTTGGTCAGATGCAGATTCTCAGAGAAGTAATCTGTCCAGCTGGTTTCCAGTGGCCTCTGCCACAACATGCATCATTTTTTTTTTTAAAAAATTATTTATTTATTTGAAAGAGTTCGAGAGTTCGAGAGAGAGTGAGCACTTCTATCCACTGGTTCACTATCCAGATGGCTGCAATGGCCAGGGCTGGGACAGGCCAAAGTCAGAAGCCAGGAGCCAGGAGATTTTTCTGGGTCTCCCACAAGGATGCAGGGGTCCAAACACTTGGACCATCTTCCATGGCTTTTCTCAGGCCATTAACAAGGAGCTGTATTGGAAATGGAGCAGCCAGGACACAAATTGGCATCCATATGAGATGCTGGCATTGAAGGAAGTGGCATTACCAGCTATGCCACAACACTGGCTCCAACATGCATCATTTTTATAACCATGAATCAGGGAACATGGAAATCTCACGTGGTCTCCTCTTAAGAAGAGAACTGACTTCCACTAACTAATGCCCTTCATTGTTTCCACTCACTGATGCCCTTGGATACAGGTTAAAGGCTCTAGGCCAGCGAGTTACTCTAGCACAACCATGTCCCTTGGTCCCTTCCAGTGGAGTCAGATGCTGACCAAGATTTAGAAGTGTTTGCTTCCAATCCTGCTTGTGCCACCTGTTCTTGGTTATTTCAGTTACATAATGCAACTAAATATTTCATAAACAAATGAAATATGAGTGAGAAAAGACAGATTTTTTTCTTTGAAATCTAAGTTGAAAGTTTCAAGGAAGACTCAGTGAATACAATGTACTGAAACAGTGCTAGTATTATAAATGAAATATAAAAGATATATTGCCATAATTACTATAAAGATACACAGTGGAAATGAAAAAATGTAGAAATCTGTACAAGTTCTGCACTCATATTATTTGACAAATACTTATGTTCTTGATACTCTTTAAAGAATCCCAAACTTGGATAGATCATCTTAGTGAGATTGTCTTTTAATTCAAATCAACAAACACTTGCTTAGAACTTTTTATATTCACAATTCCAGACAAGGCACTATGGCTGATCTAGAAAAAGTAAACATTTTAAACTCAGTAAAATTTTTGTCAATATAAAACTTTCTCAAATTATTTCTTTTGTAATTTCTTCTACTTCATTTTGTCTGTTCTATCTCTGAAGTTTCTTTTAGTTTGATATTGGATCTCTGATTTGAGCATCTATTTTTTTCTTTCCTTTTTTTCCATCATTTTTCTCTGTTATTTTATGGGAGACTATTCTAACTTTGTATTCCACTATTAATTTTAAAAAATTGGTTACTTTATATTTAATTTCCAATAGCAATCCCTACTCTTGAAAAGATTATGATATGCTTGGGGAGGTTAGACTTTATCTCATAATAGGAAGCAACACAAACTTAAATATAATTACCTATTGGATGTGTGGAATATAATACACTATGGAATTCCTGCTTAGTGGAGAGTTGGTTTTATTAGATAGGATCTCATTAAAGATGTGGGGTTTGAGCTGAACCTTGAAGGACAGGTGGGATTTATACAGGTGGTGGTGGGGAGAGAAAATATCCTTGGAGAGGTAAGAGAACAAATTATATCTACAAGAACACATGGTTATAAAAAGAGGGATAATCTTGGGAAGTAAGCATAGGATAACTGAATTTTAAAAATTAATGGAAGAATTGAAATATAAATTCAAAAATAATCTCCCATAGGATGAGAGTGAGAGAATGGGGGAGGGGAAGGAGGAAGGGAGAGAGAGACAGAGAGAGAAACAAGGAAAGAAAAGATAAAATTAAATTAGAAGATCAAATCAGAAAGTGCATTATCAAGCTAAAAGAAATTTGAGAAAGTGGAAACAGGAAAAATGAAGTGGACAAAGTCACAAAAGAAATAATTCAAGAAGGTTTCTTAAAATTGATGGACCGAGTCTTCATAATGTAAGAG